GGCAAGTCATTTAACCTTGTTTGCCTCAGTTTCCTCATCTGTAAAATGAACTAGAAAAGGAAATTGACAAACTACTCCAGTATCTTTAAAAAAACAAAAAACAAAAAACAAATGGTGTCATAAAGAGTCAGACACATTTAGAACCCAAAGTTTTAAAAACACAGGTTTAAAAACAAAATGTTTCCACATGCAGCTGGGAAATAAGAAATACAGGAAATGAGGTACAGAAATCTATCCTGCCCTACAATAAAATAGAAGGGGAAGGGGATAAGAGAAGGGGGGGGAGATAGAAGGGAGGGCAGACTAGGGAAAGGGGTATTCAGAATGCATGCCATCTTGGGGTGGTGGGAGGAGCAAGATGGGGTGAAAATATGGAATTCAAAATCTTGTGGAAGTAAATGTTGAAAAATAAAAATAAATAAATTTATATATATTTTTTTAAAAAGAGTCAGACACAACTGAAAAACAACCAAACAACAACAAAGGCATTTAATAAAAACATATAGAGAGAGCTAGAAAGGGCCTTTGAAAACATCTCTTTCAAACGCCCCCCCCTTTTTTTATAGATGAAGAAGCTGAGGTCCAGAGAGGTTAAGGGACTTGCCCAATGTTGCCCAGGTAATAAATGGCCAAGTGAGGATTTGAACCCAGGCCTTCCACATCCATTGTTCTTTCTACTGTACCACACCTTTTCTCATATTGTTACTGTGTGCCCACATGTGGATATGTAAACACCCCGTGACTGCTAGAGGAAGTCCACCCATAACTGTTTGGTAAATGAGATCCAGAGTCTTTGTTGGGATCAAGCCAGATATAGTGCAGCCTTCATTCTTTCTCCCTACCCCCCTCCCAGATTTACCAGACTGATTTTGTATTGTTTATATTACATTAGCTCTGACAAGATGCCTGATATAAGATAAATACAGTGAATTAGTGAGAACTTCAAAAGGCATGCTTAGCTCTAGGCCCCTTCCTGATGGGGCTGCTCTCTGTAGTCTCCTTGCCTGAAGGCCAGAGGGCTCTTTGAACAAAACAGAATGCCAGAAAGAAGATGCACTGCCTAAAACCTGAACCTTCCCAAGGCTAGGCTTTCTGTATTTCCTGCATACTTCTCAGGTTGGGGGTTTATTTTTTTTAGCCTGATGAACTGAAGTGGTGTTTATTTTGATTTGTCTCTGAATTGGAACGGGAGATCACCCAAAAGAAACCCCTGCTGTGATTCAGCACAGGACTGGATCAGATTCTGGATGATGTAAATAATATTCAAAGAACATTCCTTAGAGTCACAGTTAGAGTTTGGCAAATGGAAGCATTTGCCCGTCTTGACCATCTCTTGTCATTCTGCTTTTTTGGAAGCTGATGAACGCTAACTTAGCTGCACCACTGACCCCTTGTAGGGGTCCCTGTTGGGCCAAACAACGCTGTCTGTTTCTCCTGCAAGATGCAGATGATATTCAGAAGGGATATTCAGTTCAATAAACTTTACTTAAATGATGACTGTATTTCATTGAGCTATGGAAGCCTTGGGAATACAGATGAAATATTACATAGCTCCTATCCTTAAGAAGCTTATGACCTAGTAGGCAGGACATGATGTGTACAAAAAAATAATTATAATACAAAGGAAAGATCACTTTCAGTTCAAGGGCTTAGAGGATGATCAGAGAAGCCTTCATGGAGGAGATGGCATCTGTTGGGGGGAAAAAAGCCACCCAACAACAAACAGTGCTTTATAAATGTTCTACTCATCATGGCCTGTGTCAGAGATTAGGTACCCTTAGATTTCGAAAAATAGCTGAGCTGGAGGCAATTTTTTTTTTTGGTTAAGCAGTGGGGTTAAGTGACTTGCTCAGGGTCATGCAGCTAGTAAGTGTTATATGTCTGAGACTGGATTTGAACTCAGGTCCTCCTGATTTCAGGGCCAGTGCTCTATCCACTGCGCCACCTCACTGCCCCTGGAGGCAATTTATTTAAGTGCTAGCATCTTTCTCAAAATTCATACTACCAGGACAGCTAGGTGGACACATAACACTCACTAGCTGTGCAACTCTGGGCAAGTCACTTAACCCCAATTGCCTCACCCCCCCAAAAAAATTCATACTACCTGGGAAATAATACTAGCAGAAGGGAGACCTTCTGTCTGCTCCCACAACCTAGGAGGAAAAGAAGGGAGGAATAAAGGAAGGAAAGGAGGAAGGGAGGAAGAATGAAGGAAGAGGAATAGAGAAGAAGAGGGACAGGAGGAGAAGGAAGGAAGGAAAAGAAGGAGGGAGGGAGAAAGGAAAAGAGGGAAGAAGAAAGGAGCGAAGGAGGGAGAAAGGAAAGATTTATTAAGTACCTACTGTATCCCAGGCACTGTGCTAAGTGCTTTATAAATATTATCCCATTTGATCTTCACAGCAGCCCTAGGAGGAAAGTGGTATTATTATTCCCATTTTATAGATAAGGAAATGAGGCAGGTAGAGGTCAAGTGACTTTCCCAGAAACACACAGCTAGTAAGTGTTTGAGGCAAGATTTGAACTCAGGTCTTCCTGAATGCAGGTCTTGCACTCTATCTACTATACCAGTGATGTCAAACTCAAATAGAAAGGCTGGGGGGTCAGGGGACACTAAGGATTCCTGCCAGAAGGAATTGACTTAGAAAACCACATATTAACATTATCAATGTTCTATCGTATTTTTATTTATTTTATTAAAAATTTCCCAATTACATTTCAATCTGTTAGGGCTTTACTGGGGATGGTAGGGGCCAGGGCAAGGCCCCACATTCGACACTTCTGCATTACACTACATTACACTGCAACACGTGGCACTCCTGGAGACCACTCTTCCGAGCATGAGCTCTCTTCCCACTCCGTTCCTCAGTCAATGATGGAGCTAACAGAACCTTCCTCGTCACTGTCCCCTTTCATGATGAAACAACTGAAGATGAATTCCCTTGTGATCTGACACATTTGTATGCAGCCAACAGTGTTGCCAACAGAGTTTATACTGCCTTAGTCATAGTCAGAAAGGTGACTGCCTCTGTGTGGGGTGATTTCAGTACCTATTAAGGAAGGCCTCATCACCCCCCAAAATTATATCACTAACATATGTTGGTGCTGGAAATTTTACTGTTTAGTATTTATTCTTTTGATTAAGGACAAGCAGGGAATAACACATTTTATGGGGAGGACACAGATGCCAAATCTCCCTGTTTCCAGTCCCTGAAATAATTCTGTAAACATCTGGAGATATCACCACCGCCGCCGCCGCCGCCGCCACCCTCTTCTGAAATGATACTCACATGAGGCACGATACTCTGAGAGGCATTGTGGCACAGTGGAAAGAATTGGACGTGGACTGTGAGGACTTGGATTCAAATCCTGACTGCTACTTATTGCCGATGTGACTTTAGGAAAGGAGGTTAACCTTGCTGGCACTCAATTAATTCCTCATCTGTTAAGTGAGATTGGATAACATGAATTTGTAATATACTAAGGAAGCACTGTTGTGTGACTTCTTTAGAGGTAGCTAGGTGGGACAATGGACAGAGATCTGGGCCTGGTATCAGGAAGAATTGGATTCAAATCTACCTTAGACCTTTACTAGCTATGAAGCTCTGAGCAAATCACTTAACCGCTATCTGCCTCAGTTTTCTCAACTGTAAAATAGGGGTAATAATAGCACCTAGTATCCAATAAAAGGACCAAGGTTGTTGTGAGGATTAAGTGAGGTAATATTTGTAGGGTACTTAGCACAGTACATTGTACATAGTGCTTAATTAACGCTTGTTTCATTGCCCTTTGTTGTCTTTGTTGGCGTTCAGTCATTTTCAGTCACACCTGACTCTTTGTGACCCCATTTTCAGTTTTCTTGGCAAAGATACTGAAGTGGCTTGCCATTTCCTTCTCCAGCTCATTTTACAGATGAGGAAACTGAGGCAAACAAGGTTAAGTGACTCACCCAGGGGCACACACCTGGTAGTGTCTGAGGCCAGATTTGAACTTATGAAGATGAGTCTTTCTGACTCCAGGCCCAGGACTCTGTCCACTGTGCCACCTAGCTGCCCTTTTCCGTTCCTCCTTATCACCTCTAATTTTGTAAATCACCTTAGGCATAGGAGTGGAAGAAATGGATGTTGTGTGCATTCTAGGACAGATGTCTGACAAAAGATGAATGATGATAGGAGAAGGGTGCAAAGTATTCAAGGGCACAGGACAGTGTGAGTTGAAATGGAGAGCTATAGAGTTGAGACTGGGAGGGAAGAAAAGTGAAGTCAGAGGAGAGGAAAGTACTGAGGGAAAGAGGGCTTGCTGGTCTGCATAAGAGCAAAGAATAGATTTAGGAATGGTGAGGTATGGGTAAAGATGAAATGATCAAAGGAGAGAATATCGTGGTCAGCAAAAAGAATGTCCCAATTTCTAATTAAGGAAGTGGAACGCTTATGCATAATGGTAGGATCCCTAGATGTGAGTTCATGAAATTTCAGTAAACTGAAGAATTAGTAGGTAGAGAGTTTTAAGGAGTATCTAGTCTACACAGATATTAAAGACTCGTATTTTAAGGGAAGAAGTTGGGGAGGAGAGGAAGATAGTGAGCAAGTGCTGAGCTCCTTCACAAAGGAGAGGGAATGGTTCAGTATAAGACAACTATCAGAGTTTGGAAAACACGAAGGTACTTAGGAGAGGATAGTAGCACTGGATTTGTGGTTACAATGAGCCCAATTAGTCAGCAACTTCTCATCGGACCTGAACCAGCAACCATTGAAGAGGCCAGATGGAAGCTCAGCAGTATTAATCTGATCCAGCCCCTTATTTGCCATTCAGGCACACATTACTGATTATAGAGGACTCCTCCACAGAAACCCTCCTAGGACCAAGTGACTCAAGAGCCTACAGGTCTGGAGTGTTAGAAGACTAGGTCCCTATTAATTTGCTGAGTCGATGTTGCCCCTGTGGCATTAACCCAACTCAAGTTTCAGTCCTGAAGACAGTGTCTTGTCTTGGTGTTTTCCCAGATGATAGATTTCTTGGGTGAAGATTCTGCTGATCTGTGTCTTCTTGGGAGACAGAGGGATGAGTCAATGGAGTAATCTGGAGAGCTGAATTCATCTGACTATTTTGGAAGAAAGAGGGAGTCACCATTGGTAAGAATGCCCATAAAAGTATCCACTATTATGCACTACAAGCATAGTATTTGGGCAGCTAGGTGGTACAGTGGATAAAGCATCAGGCCTGGAATCAAGAAGACTCATCTTCCTAAATTCAAATCTGGCTTCAGACACTTATTAGCTGTGTGCCCCTGGGCAAGTCACTTAAACCTGTTTGCCTCTGTTTCCTCATCTGTAAAAATGAGCTGGAGAAAAAAAATGTCAAACCACTCCAGTATCTTTGCCAAGAAAATCTCAAATGGGGTCACAGAGTCAGACTTGACTGAAAAATGACTGAACAACAAATATGGTATCTTAGAAAGAGGGAAATATACTCCCAGTTTAAAACCTTATCAGTTATTTAAACTATGGTTTATCTGATTCTTTTTGGAATGGAATGCCAATGGCAGAGGGAGAGGAGAGTTTTTCATTAAAAGGGGAATGAGCCCAGAAAAGAAAGGTGAGATGTACTATCTCATCCATTTTACAGTTTTGCCTAGCAGCAGTTGAACATTGTTTATTTTAAAGCCCGATGCAGGCAATCTCCAAATTATGAACACCTGACATTAGCTTCTCATATAAAAGAGAAATTTTGTCCCCCACCAACCTTGTGTCTTTGCTAAGTCCAGCACCAAGATGTGGAGCATTGGGGTTGGGGAGCAGAATGGGAAGAGGTTCCACCAAACTGCCTAAGGGAAGACAAATTGGCCCAGGTCAGAAATAGAGCAAGTCAAAACTTCCTTCATGAGCAGTAGTGGGAATGGGCCCATGAGTAGCCCTTGTCTTCCAGTGTGGTTGAGATAGAAAGACCCAGTCTCAAAAAAAGAAAAGACAAGAAAGGAAGGTGAGGGAAGGGTAGGAAAGGGAAAGGAAGTGAGAATGAGAGGAGAAAGCAAGGCAATGGAAGCAACATTTGAAAGTTTTTTTCAGAATCTCCACAAAGCTGTATCTACCTCTTCATTCTTTGTTAATTAAACCTGCTTTTCCTTAACCACCAGCATTCAAGGTAAATGTTGACAGAAAACTTTTTATTCAATTTGTCATGATACCATTTTTTTCACTACATAACTATTTTCTACTATTTTTCCATTGCATTTACAATGCAAAATGCAAAGAACAAATATGGCAAGCTATCAGGTTGAGATTGGGAATGGAGGAAAGTGAAGTCAGAGGAAGAGAAAATACCAAAGGGTGGAGATATTAGGGGCCTCATGAGAATGTAAAATAAGTTCAGGAGAAAGGTGGCATAGGAAGAGAAGGAAAAGCGAGGAGAGGAGGTTGTGGTCACAAAGGGGATGATTATTTCTGCTACCTTATGGGTTAAATAGGTTTTTGTGGTCTGGCCTGGTAACCTAACCACCATTTATAACACCGTTTCTATGGGGAAATGCATTATGCTTTCCAAACAACAGACTTACAAATGAAATTTTGGAACATAACTATTCATAAGTCGGGGACTGCCTGTACAAACAAATGCAGACTCATAAATAAGTGTTTATTGGCATTACCTACAGCCAAAATGTTTGAAACCTTTGTTTCTGTGCTGTGTTCTCATATTTTTGCCAAATTAATCTAGACTTTGTTTTTGTTGCTGCTGAATAAAATTTACCTTAATTGTAACTTTCCCAGAAATGATCTTTTAACCATATTCAGAAGTTCTTGGCCATTCTTATATTAAAAGTAAAGAGAACATGCTACTGGGAACCAGCAGCTCTCCTGCTAATTCCCTGGGTTAGTCATTTCCCTTTCTGTGTGCCTCAGTTTCCTTGAGTGTAAAATGAACACACACACACACACACACACACTCACACATACACACACACACACACATATATATATATAGTTGAAGTATACGCTCCCTAAAATTCTTTTTAGCTTTTTTAACAATGCAGTAGAAAGAGTTCTGGACCTCTCAGGTGCCTTCTAGCTTTGAGGCCACATTGTAGACATGCAGATGTCTCCCACTGCATCTGGGGCCATCTCCAGTCATCCTAACCTATGTCTTGCCACTGGACCCAGATGACTCTGGAGGAGAAAGTGAAGCTGATGACTTTGCACAGCCTTGTCTCACTTAAATCCAAGTCACTTGCAAATCATGACACCACTCTCCTAATGTCACTGGCCTTCTTCAAGAAGGAAGGACAAACAAAAACAACAATATGCTAACAAAGCCCTGCTCTATCACCTTTGTGTTTGTACCTTCCAAGACAAGAGCATAGGGCTTTCTGTCCCCATGGGGAACCACTACATTGTACCACATGTAAAGATGGAGTTAATATTCCCCATTAGTGACCTTGGTGATATTCACATGTTCCAGGAGAAAGAGAACCTCATAATTCCAATCTTGGAAGGGTAGAAATCCAAACCCCCTTCCAGTTAATCTTCAGACTGTCTTTTTTGCAATGCTTTGGTCTCTGGATAGCATCTTCTTAATGATTTGGGATCATAAACAGTTCCCTCCTCAAGAATGGAAACTGAACCTTTGCCTCTGAATTTAATTAGAGGTATTTTCTCTTCCAAATGCTGTTTTGTTTTTGCTTCTTTGTAGCAGACTCTGAGTGTTTGCTACTAGGACAAACTCAAAAGACTGTAGTTTTGTTTTGGGGTTTGGGGGTTTTTTGTTTTTCAATTTTTTATTGTTTTTTTTTAACGTTTATAACTCTGACAGCTGCCCTGACGTCTTAGATGGGCACAGCCCTTAACAAAAATGACACTCCCCAAATGAGTACTTGCCTACAAGCTTTGAAAGGGACCCTGTTTATCTAGTCAGAAGGTGTCTCAGTGGGAGACAGTCCTTTAGAATCTCAGCTGACTTGTACAAGAACCAAATTTATATTTTCTATCTGCAGCAGCTGTTCCTCATAGTTTTCTCTTGTGATGCTAAATTATGACCCTGAGGCTTCCATGTAGATTGGCCAAGAGGTGGTGAGAGCTTCTTTTCCTCATTCAGTTTCTGAGGTTATAGTCCCAGGATAATGAGTTTCCATAATGCCACTAAACAGGGTCAGCTTCATAAGTAGGAGATATGTGGGGGTGTATAGTGGGGTTGGAGGTGGAGGTACTGAAGGGGGAAGGGTACCCTTGTTTCTGGGACCCCGCCTCTGAGTAGGAACTGATTTTTTTCCCCTTGTTTGCTACCCTGGAAAATATAACCTTAGTATCAATTGACCAACAATCAGTGAACAAGCATTTATTAAGTGCTTACTGTGTGTCAGACATAGTAAGTGTCTGTCTCTCTTGCTTTGCACTACATTCAGAAATCACTCCATCCCTTGGAGGCCATGCCTGGTTTGTTGTTTGCTGAGGTTTGAGTCTTTTGTATTTAGATAACTCAATTGAACAATTATTGAGCATCTCCTGTGTGCAAGGAGTTGAATTTAGAGGAATAGGAATACTAAGAATAAAGACATAAGAACATTACAGAGGCAGGATGACAGTTCCTGGTAGTTAGGAAGAGCTGGATTCAAATCTTGCCACTAATGTATAAAATACTAGCAGTATGAGCATGAAGAAGTCACTTAACTCCTCAATGCAACTAAGATTAGAAGTTAAAAAACAGGGTGCGAATCTGCATCAATGGAGTGTTTCTATGTCAGACGTTCTCCTTGAGAGAACTTGGTGATTTCATTCACCAAGTTTTCCTTGGTGAATGAAATCAAAGGACTATGCCAAAAAAAAAAAAACCCAAAACAAGACATGACACTTGCCCTCAAGGACATTCTTATCTAGTAGCAGAGATAAACATACATAGAGAGAGCTATGATACAAGGTAGTATGTGAATGGGGTCCAAAATGTTTGGGAAGTTTCAAAGGAAGGGCGGTTAGAGGTTGGAGGGTTGGAGAGGAGAGGGAAAGATTGCAGAGCTTCCTGGAAGGACACATTTGAGCTGTAACTTGAAGGATTGGAAGGAATTATGTAGACAGAGGAAGGAAGCAGGAAATGAGAGGGTAGAAGGAACCAGGTGAAGGAACAGCATGAAGAGCCACATGGAGTTGAGAAACACTGTATAGGAGGAAACTGTAGTGTTGCTTTTTTCATGTTGGTTCCTGGTGACCTTGGCCCTCCTTCTGGACCTCTGCTGCTCTCTTGGAGTCTTAATAGATCTCTCCTGAATGCCACCACTTCTATTTGCAGCTTCCAGGATGGAAACTGTCAGATGCAAGATTCTCTTTTGAGTTTCAATTTTGTCCTTTATCTGAAAATAAACCATTGTTATATCTGTAAAACAAGTCATTTGGGGCCATTTGGAGATAGGTTGAGGCTCACTGGTCTGTATCTTACCCAACCTCAAGTTGTCAACACTTGAGAGTGCAAGAATTCTGTGAGGAGGGGAGAGCGAAAGAAATAAATATTCTTTTAGAGGTAGTAAATGCTCCTTAACTGGCATGAAAGTATCTTGTAATATTTAGAGGTTTATTTCTAGTTTAGAATTGGGATCCTTAACATGGGGTCCCTGATCTTGTTTTTTTATAATATTTTAGTAACTATCTCAATCAAATTGGCTTCTTTTATAATGCTATGTATTTTATTTTGTTTTTATGAACATTAGTCTGCAGATCAAAGCATACTATTTTTCACTTTCTTTATTTTTCCATGTTTTTTTTTCCTTTTGGTCTGTGTCTCCTTTCACAAAATGACTAATACAGAAATATATTTTGCATGATTGCACATGTATAACCTATATCAAACTGTTTACCATCTCTGGGAGGGGAGAGGTGAAAGAGGGAGGGAGAAAATTTGGAACTCAAAAAATTTTTTAAATGAATGCCAAAAATTGCCTTTACATGTAATTGGGAGAAAATTAACTATTATTTTTTAAAAAGAACATTATTTGGAGAAAGAGTTTGTAGGCTTCACCATACTGCCAGAGAGGTCCAAGACATGAAAAAGGGTTAAGGAGCCCTGATTTAAAACATCAGGTCTAAAATGCTGCCCTACAATCACCTGCAAGTAAACATATCCAATCTGGCAGATTTTATTTAGTAGCTTTTATCTC